GCCCCTGAAAGCCTCAATTGCTAAATTTCAGAGGGGGGGGGGGGGGGCTCTAAAATCATAAGACAAATTTGTGTCTCCTGTAATTGTCTCTTAAATGTCTTATAAAAGCTCACTAATGCCCAGCAGTTTTCATTATTCATTAAGCGAGCCTGTCTTCACGTCCGTTTGTGGACCTAAACGGACCCCCATTGGACAAATTTGATCTAATGCCTTTCGTGAGAAGCTGGAATAAAACAAGACGTCTCTCCTCTTCTCGGATACCAAGACGGCAACTAGAGGAAGCCGAGGTCAGAGTGTCGGGTTAGAGAGAGAGAGAGGCGAGCGTGCGTATTCTGTTGCAGGGCGTGGCTGTGGAGTTGTGTGAGTGGTTTTATTGTTAACGATATCAGCTGAATATATGTGTGCAAAGTGCATACAGCCTAGTTTCCGTGGCTTGCAACCATTAAATCTTGTATATTGTGTACGTATTTCGCACACTGGTTGAGGGTAAGAATGAGCTCGTGATATAATCATGTGAAGCAGGAGAAGCTGTTAAAGTGGTCCAGTCCAGCGATGACATGTGGGCCCGAGTTCTGAGATATTCACACCCAGAAGCTGCTGATTTACTTTTGCCATCCTGTCGAAACCCGTTGCTCCACTTAAAAATGCAGAATAGAAACAGCTGTATCTCTCTCTTCAAAGGTAAACAAAAAGATTTCGCAGTTTTTGTCCTTCACTGTTACAGTTTCGGCTCAAATGCACACGCTCAGCAGTACACACACCAGTAGACCAGGTTGAACAGGATGTAGGCGCCGGGGAAGATCATGCGAGAGGAGGTGTCGATGGCGTGGGTGTTCTGGATGATCCGAAAGCCGCGGATGCCCTTCTTCTTGATCCCCGTGGGCTCTTTGTCCAGGGAGAGATGCACCACCATCCGCTCCTGTTTTTCCGACGACTCCTCGGCCGCAATGGAGCCCCGCGTGTACCCCGCCAGGCTGTTGGCGTCCGCCTCGCTGTACGTGCCATCCAGCATCATGGTCCTGGCGTGGGACATGCCGCAGGTGCAGGGGAGTGTCTGCGACTGAGCAAAAGAGAGCAAAAGGAATCAGGATTGAATAAGAAGTTGAAAGCACCGTTTGGGAGACATAGGTTGTTTCTAAAAAATGGTACCTGTTGCCTGGCTTTTTCTCTGAGCTTGCGGTCTTTACCGTCCCTCACCGTCGTCAGGTAGTTGACGGCAGCGTACTCGAGCACGGAGAGGAAGACAAAGACGAAACTGACCCAGAGGTAAATGTCCACAGCTTTGATGTAGGACACCCTGGGCATGGAGGCGTTGACTCCAGTGATGATGGTGGACATGGTGAGCACCGTGGTTATACCTGAAGCACAGAGAACAAACCACCTTGTGTGAAATATGAAGAGGCCATGTTTATCTCCGTCGGTCCAGAACAGACATCAACCTCTGGAACTTGGAGGGCAGAGACGAGAAACTGGGGAAACTGAAACTGTTAAAAAGAAAAAGAAAAGGAGAAGGTGGTCCCCAGACAAAACAATGGGGATGATGTGACATGGTGCACAACAAGTCGGAAAAGAAACCAGTTGATAACAAACCGTTACGCTGTATTTTGCGCATACAAACACGCAGCAACATGTCCACAGATGGAATTTGGACAGCTTTGTTTTTTACGTCTAATGAGACACAAACAAGACAGAAGTGCTAATAAACAGTATAATATTACAAATTTCACTTCTGCAGTAATCTTGGATTTTTCTTTTGGTCGGGGTTGGTGAGGTTCTCCCGACTTCAGGGTTCCAGTGGAAATATCTAAGTCCATAAGCATACGTCTAGAGCGCCACAGACACATGAGAGAACATTCACTGACAATAATTGGAGACTTTCTTCAAGGCTGAGGAGTTAAGGTCCACCTAATAAATTTGTCGCTATGTGCTTTAACAAAAAATAGACACTAAAAGGGGTTTTGAAAGTCCTTAAATCTAGCAAGAAAGTCATTAAGTTGCCAACATTGAGGCTGTAACTCCCCTTAAAACCACAAATTGTCATATTACATTCCTGCTTGTGTACAGATTAAACAAGCAAGAGTCAATAGCCGTGTTGCAATTCAATTGTCAAGTGAATTTTGAAATGCAAACTGGTTTGGAGTGAATAAACGTGGCTACGGCGTAGTTCCGTCAGCAGTCTGCGCTATAAGCTACACAAGTCTGTAGAGGGTCTCCAGAAATGTGTTCATTCATGTCCGCTGGTACAGTATTGTCCATGTTTCATACGAGTTAAATGTTTGCATTTTCAGAACGTATTTGGCAAAGGCATTTTGATAATATATGTGAACAGGCAGGATGGTCATCGTGTTACCTAATGAGACTCTGGCAGGGACGGCCCTGCGGTCGATCCAGAAGGACACCCAGGACAGCATGACCATCAGAGTGGCGGGGAAGTAGGTCTGCAGCAGGAAAAAGAAGATGTGACGCCGCAGAGTGAAGTTGATGTACAGACGGTTGTACCAGCCTGGAGACAGGGAAGAAGCAGAATAACGAGAAGGTTTGTTCTTTTATGTGTCAGAGGTAAAACAGAAATGATACCACAATAAACACAGAGCCAGGTGGAATGAACTGATCTGCAAAGGGGTGATAGAAATCTGGATGGGCCGATAAAACAAAAAACAACATCTGAATAGTAAAGAGATAATTGCATCGGATAACAACATTTATGACAGCAGAGCAAAGTAAGGCAGCAAATAACAATGTGAGGGAAATATGAGGGAAATGTTGAAATAGCCCAAAAGGTGTTTTTTTCACATCAGTGTTCTAGTTTCTGAGTTTCTGATTCAAAAACATTTCTCAGAGGAACAGCTTTTCTCTGGATCCAGTGCTAATCTCACCGGGTTGAGTAAAACCTCATTGGGCAAAGCCAAACAATTATTTTCAGAGCTTTTACTGGAAGCTTCACTCAGTAGCAGCTTTCAGCTTTTATATATTTATTAATATAATTAATATATGTTACTATTTCATTCCTTTCGTAGCAGATTGGAGATCCAACAAGGCAAAGAACTGTCCTTTAGAAACGTTTGCAACGTGATAGGAACATCAAACTGTGAGAAAAAACATTATACTATTATATAGAAATTAAATATTCTTGCACAGTGCAATGAAAAATAAGCACTCCCTGCAACTGACTGAGTGCAGAAGAGAGCAGGCCATATTAAAGAATGTAATGTTAATTTAAAGTCTTGCCTCATTGAGGTTCCACTCAGCCAACACAATTACTTCAGACTCTTTAATATCAGGGTCTGATCAACCCGTCAGCAGAGAGGTCCCCTAGTGTTCTCCAACTTGGTTATACGTTGATTAAACATGAATTTGTTTGAGAATATGTATCATGTAAGCATAATTACAACTGAAATATTTATGGTATTAAAAGTAGATTTTGACACATAGCCCCTCGACAATACAGGGCCTCGGAATTAGTCATTAAGGTGCTTCCCGTTTCGGTTCATAATAACAACAACTTAGTGAAAATACTAATTGCCACACTGAGCATGAAGTCTTTAGAGCTCCTATTGGAGCCATTTTTTACCATCGGGTATATCAGCCTTATAGAAAAAGTTCTATGTCAACTCGGCGTTGTTTTGCCCGTCTGTCTACCTGTGCTGCTGTAGAACGCCAGTCTGGAGGAAGTGTGGAACTTCTGGATGAGGAACTGAGACAGAGAAATCCTGTCGTCGGTGCTCAGGGACTCGTCGCCGCTTTTCCAATACAGCATCAGGTCTTCGTCTGTGTACGCGTCTGAAGGACAGAACGCGTGAACGCAAGAATAGAGTTCAGTATCAGCTGCAGTAGTAGGATGGATACAGGCTTAGGTATGTGAGGATTTCCTGTAACCAAAGGCATCAAAACAATAGACAATATTGTAAATTTTCACATCATTTATTTTAATCATGTCTTGTACCGATACTGTGTTTATTGTCATGTAACAATCACCAAGTCCTAATCCTTGTGTGTGAAAGTCATAGACTGTATAAAAGAACTGGGCTGGTTGACTGCGGTTTTGAAGCCTCTAGTTCGACATTTTGGCCGTCACCTTCTGGTTTTTTGCAACCACTGAACAGAAGTGACCATATTTGTACTGTGGAGGAGTGACGTAGAGAAAACGTAGACAATAAAAATGTAGCCCCGCCCTAAAGCATCCCCTGCTTTATGGTCTGTTTGACTCTAAATGGACCATAATGTACTAAATGAACATCATGCTGTGTTGAAGAAGACTTGAAACTAGAGATTGAGACCATAAACTCATGTTTACAATGTTTACTGAGGTAATAAATCAAGAGAGAAGTAGAGTCATTTTCTCATAGACTTCTATACAACCAGAGGAGTCGCCCCCTGGTGGACACTAGAGAGAATGCAGCTTTGAGACACTTGCCGCCTGTTGCAAACATACTTGGCAATAAACCATTTCTGATTCTGATTAATACCCACTCATGTGAAAACACCTGTCACGTCTTACTGATAACTAACAGTTAATAGTAATAAAACAGTAATGAATAACATTTCACCTTTTGATTGGCAGGTCTCTAGCACAGCTGTATACGCCGTCTCTATATCTCTCCTCTGTAGTTCAAATATGGTCACTTCTGTTCATTGGTTGCAAAAAGCCAGGATTTTGCCGGCCAAAATGCCAAACTTAAGGCTTCAAAACTAAAGAAATCAGTTATGTCACGATGACTACAACCACTTCTTATATACTGTCTATGTTCTCAGCACTAGAGTGGAGTACTTACAGCTCTCCAGCTCCAGCGTGCACGTCTGCGAGTCCAAAGGGAAACGACTGAAATCCATGTTGCACGCAGCAGTAACTGTAACCCTGAAGGGGGAGACAGCAGAGCGTAAACGTCACCAGCTCTGTGCATGCTGCAACAAGGCCTGCCATGTCGCATTTGGTTGGTGGGAGAAAAAGCCCCGACATGGCAGATATCTGTGTGTGTGTCCTCACCTCAGGCTGTACAGGACGTGACCGTCGGGAAACACACGCAGCATGATGTTTTCAGTGGTGGTGTCATGGATGAAAGACCTCTTGGAGTGGACGAAGAACACGTCGGGCACCCAGATCTTCTTCACCAGGCGCCCGTCAAAGGTCATGCTCTTGTTGGTGGAGCTCGGGAAGGCCAGCCTTTCGTCCTTCCAGTAGTGCCTCAGATACAGGGTCATGGTGAAGTCCTGAGGGGGCGGGCGGGTGGGGGGGAGGGGGGACAGAAACAGAAAACAGCCTCTGGGTTTATTGAATTCCATGGGATTACAGAGCTGCGACCCGTTGCTGCTGCATTATATGGATTGCTTATGACTAAACATACATGGTCAAGAGAGGTGCTGAACATATGTTAACTAACCTCAATCCACAGCTTCCATTGATCCTAGATTACCTTTGTCTTCTGGCCTCCAACCTCTGTTGCTATGCAGGCACTCCTGCACTACCCCC